CACTGGGCAGCAATTCATATGACTATTTAATAAGGAAATTCGACCCACGGCCTCAGGTGGGAAAGACCCGTGTATTAACTACTAACATCGGTTCACACTGTATTAATAGAAACATTGTTTATCTATTGAACGGTATGTATGACAAACAGTGATGTCTATATAGTCTTAGAAAGTACATATAACTCGGAAAAAGTCACATTAGTACTTGCCGTTGGTAGGTTTCGAACCCGCACCCTCAATGCTCGAGAAGCGGGCGTCTAAATCTCCAGGCCACCCCGACCATTACGATAGAATAGTAAAAAAAAAAATGTTTTCGTATTGGTAATATCTAATGACAATATTAAAGCTCACAACGTGTATCCTGCAGGCTACAAACCCTATTATTTAAATCTATCAAAAAAAAAAATCGAAAACATACCTAAAATGTAACCCATAATTTACTTTGCACCGCTAAACGAGGTAAGTACAACAAGATTATTTAGACACCACTAACAAATGGTGAAGAAAAACATCGTGAGGAAACCTGGACTTATAATTAATAATCATAAATTTGAAGTCGCCAACTCGCAATGAGCAAGCGTAGTGATTAATGCTCAAATCATTACCGTGTAAGAAATTTTTTTGCTCAACAGTGGACACTTATAGGCTATTGATGTAGGAAAATAGACAAGTATAATCAAAACTACGTAAAACAAACTCCGAGCGAAAAATAAGTACTATTATTAAACAGAAACAAAAGCAAAAAGAACCAATTTCCTTAGGATTACTCGTTCGTACCACAGAAAATAAAGGAACTAATATTTATTTTGAAATATTCCCCCAACAGTTTCTGTAAATTAAATTGAAACTGGAATTCAATTTCGTTGCTGATATACTATCGGTATTGTATAAATTGAGTAAACAGTACTATTGTATGGCTTACTGTTTCTTAGTTTTATTTTTAAAAGTCACTATTAGAATGCCTCTGGCAATTCGAAGTGCTGAACGGCTAATGTAAGATGACCTTCCACATGTCCCTCTAAGGCATATAGATAGTATGTGAGAGGGGTTAAAAATAAAATAAAGGGAGGTCTATCTGCTTGGTTTCGTTGTTGTCTGATCGCATTGCGTCTGGTCGGTCGATAAGATCGCTTTGTTTGCACTTCTATCACTGTTCCAATGATATATCGTTCGATTTTGAACATGTGTGCACCGATCACAAACGACACTTATATAGGGTATGAACACTATATCCTACCTTTTTTAAGATAGATTTAATAAAAATACTATTTGTAAAAATGCTGAAATTTTTTCTCTTGTACGAATTTTGAATTTGGATGAAAAATCTATACAAACAATTTGCCAAACAGCGTCAAAATAACTTATCAATCATCTGTGTGTGTGTTTTATGAAGGTACATTGAATAAAATATTTGAATAATTCATTTATGTAAAACAAAATTATAAGTTTTTAAATTTTATATCTAAACTAAATCTCATTACTGAACACATATTATAATATGAACTAAAGTTACACGCAACATTGTTTTAATAAAGTGTATTGCATTAAATTTAATAACAGGCGCTTTGTATTAATTTAATGAGAGAAGGTTTAATAATAGTGTGCAGTTGTCAACTGCAGGTGTTGTATTTCTAGGAAATAAATACATCATAGTACAGCATAATGTAATGTTTGTCTCTGCTTTAGATATCAAACTACATATAGATACATGTAACAACATGCCTTTTTATCCCCGAAGGGGTAGGCAGAGGTGCCGCTGTACAATGTAACACCCACTTTTCACTATTGATGTTATGAGTATGTATTAGGGGGCAGGGGGTAGGTAAGTCTATTAATATATTTAAGAAGCTCAGTAATACTTTACCCGACCCGGGAATCGAAGACGAGACTCCTTGCCCGGCAGTCGCACTTGCACCCACTCGGGCAACGAGGCAGTCTTTTATTCGATTGTAATAAGCATATTGTGAATAAAATTGTGGTTAATTTATCTGTTTTTATTGCTATTAACATTTTGTAGTAAAACCGCTTTAACCACATTGACTATTTTAATTTGTTTTATACAATTATTTTGTTTACTCTATGTGTTTGTTAATTAAAACAAAATATATAAAGTTTCAATTTTACTTTAGTGTAACTATAATAAATATATGTATTAATTGGCCTGATTTCACTAAAGCAGAAACAGTCAGGCATAGTCTGTCAGAATATACATATAACTTATTTATATGTTCTGTGGTGTATCCTTTTGTATGCTTAGATCTTTAAAACTACGGTTTTTTTTAATAGATGGTAGATGATATGAAATAATACTTCACGATTTAAGTGTGGGAGAGCCATGCTTCGGCACGAAAGGGCCGGCTCGACCAGAGTGATACCATGGCCCTACAGATAATCGACGTGAAACAACGCTTGCGTTGTGTATCGTCGTATGAGTTAGGTTATCGGAGACCCTTTTTCCTCCTCCCCCCTCCTCCCCGTGAATCCCCAACAATCCTCAAATTCTTAATCCCAAAAGCACTTGTAACACCTCTGGTGTTCCAGGTGTCCATGGGCGACGCTGATTCCATCACGATCACCTGATCGTAGACGGGTCACCTGACCCGTCTACTCGTTTACCGGCTTAACCCATAAGAGAGTTATATTTTATTTAACTAATACGACATACAGTGTATATGTAGCGACGACAATCATTTCTAACTTTAAGTGCATATAAATTCTCTAACTGGCTTGCTGAGGCTGGAAACTTTTAAGGGTTATTTGTAAGTACAACTTCACAGAGGAACTTCTGATAATGTCTTTTTCTACTTATGCAAGCCAACATTCTACTTTAAAATAGTTGAGATAATTTTAGGAATACTAACTTATGTGCACTCAGCACTATTTTACGGCCAATCTTGTTCTACATGTAAGCCAACCTGACATTCGCCGTTTTTACGAGAAAGAAAACCATGTATAAAATATTCTCGAAGATTTCTTATAAACTTTAAAAAAGAAAAAGAAATGCCCCAAATATGTCACCACTGACCTAATTACCACAAAGAAATACCACATTGATTTGTTTTTCTATTTCTCGAAACTCTTCAAACAAAATTGGCTTATACACCAGTGCTCCAATGCGTACAATTTCGTATGCCGTAAGTCCGTAACTCAAGTTCTCATCTCCTCGACTTCGAAATATTCGCATTAGGGCTGGCGCTCACTGCCCGCACAGTACGGTATGGCATTGCAAAGGATTTTATTACTAATCAATTTATCTTCAATCTTATTTCAATTAGTTTAGAAATCGTGTTACTTTATTTCGATACCATGATGCCCGACGTGCATGTCGTTTACGTGCGAGACGTATAGATTTGTTATGGACAGTGTGTCGAAGAATTACGATTGATAAGCAAGTTGACTGTAATTGCAGCGGTCATGGCAGAGTAGCTGGGCTTTCAGTAGTATACCACTGTATGCGACGGCACAATCTGCCATGCCATGCCAGCAGTGAGCGCCGGCCCTTACTAGGCGCGTTGTTTCGGCACCCGTGTTAATTCTCGGCTCGAAGTAATCAAGTTAGCGAAACTTCGCGACTTATTCCCGGCTGGCTAATGAACGAACTCGTTGCAAGTGCACAGGAGACTTCGGACGTGTCTCAAATTACATATTCAAGACGCTGATGAGCAGGATTTGTTTATTGTTTTTGTTTTTTTTTTTATATATGTGTGGCTGGAGTTTTAAATTAAACGCATCATAGTTTTTTTTTTGAATACTCTATTCTTATTCTCTATTTAGAATACTCTCTATTTTTTTTTCTTTTGTGTGTTTTAGCGAGTGTTTTATTGAGTCCACCAGATTTTAAGTTTGTAATTTCTAAAATAATATTGAATATAACCAAAAATAAATTTAAAGAGAAATCTTTTTAAAGAGAAATGCATGTATTTTTTGGTTTCTTTCTTCTTTCTTTTGATATGGAAAAAAAACTATTATTTTCAAGACAATGTATGCATTGAAATTTTTCGTTTTCATCAATATAAAATTTAATAACACATACAAAGGTTTATATGTCATTTTTTATATGTGAACTTTTATATGTTTCTTTTTATTGGAATTTCAAATTTTTCTGTAACCTTATTGTATGTAATGCTAAATTTATTGTTCACTTATTTATTCCTTGGCGTAAGTCAGTACAAAAAATTGACCATAAAATTCATATACTTACATAAAAATCGAATGTCTACAAGAAATATTTTCATTTTAATACGAATAAATATGTAAGTTTGCTTCTATTTTTTAAACGTTTGCCACACCCTACGATTTTCTCCTGTGCCGTGGGAGCGTTTACAGACATACAAGTTCACATACACATGACACCCAGACCTGGAACAAGAATTTGTGGATCACACAAAGAGTTGCTCCGTGCGGGAATCGAATCCGTGGTACGTTGCGTGGCTGCCGGTTGCCCAGATACCGCACTAACCGTGCTCTCGAACATACATACATACGAAAATACATTGTTATTTTTGGTAAAACTCAAACTAAACCTGACTAAAATTTGTTCAGTTTATTATTCATGAACTTCAATATTTTTAACGATAAATTGTTGAGAAAAAATCATCTGCGAACTTTTGTTCAAAGACCCATTGAGAGTCGGTAGCGAAGTTTGTTCTCCAACATGTTCTCAGACGATTAAGTTTTATTTGCTTTTTACAGTCGTGGTCGAATTCTATATTGTAGAAGAAAATCTACTATTTCAAGTTGTCTTATAAACAAAAATCTAAAGTTGGAGTCGAGGACTCGACATAAAACTTTTTGTTCTCAAAGTTACGACTGGTACGAACATATAAATTAACTCGTCGAGTACCGGTTTTGCAGACACAATTATAGAACAATAGGTTGCGGTCACCGGTGACCGCTTGGTGTTTGACAGTTTAAAGTTCATTTAACACTACTGATATAATATACGAAATGTATCAAACCTTGTTATTTTTCTTATCAAACTACGCAAATAAAGTTAAAGGCAAGGTTAAAGGTATATTACATCTTGCTATCGAATAATTCTTCTTTTTCACGCCCACAGGTTTTGAAAAAGAAAATTCCTCGCACTTCAGCTTCCCTAAATGGTTCGCGGTGTTCGTGTAGGAGGCCCATGCCATGCAAAGACGCATGCGCAACTTCTGCAGGCATTGCACATGTTGGAGTTATTAGTACCATCTGAAATATAAAATAACACGAATTAAAAAGGACGAATTATTTGTAAACATTGTATTTGCTAGAAAACGTTAAAATGAATAGTGGAAAATATATAATAACTTGCTTCTTGATTCTGCTTAGGCTTAATAAGTAGCCTATAAGATATTTCAGACTATAACTATGACTTTCAACCCGAACCCCTTTTTTTATATGGGGGAAAATCATCGAATCGCCTAGGTGAGGCGGGAGGGAGTGTCAGACTCTTACTGACTAAAAACCACCCCGTTCCTACTCCTGCACTTCGAGTCCCGGTAACCCGTTAGGTTTTCCGCGGCTCCGTATCAGTATCAGCCCTATTGGGCCCCATCCGTGGTGGTCTGATGGCTCTTTGAGGAGCGCGCAGAACGCGACGCGCCGTACGCTCGGGTCTGGTTCTGGTCGGGCGACAAACCACCCATGCTCGCCGTCCGCAGGCCGGAGATCGTCCCGCGAACCCGATTCCTTCAGCCGTTTTGATAAAGAGATAAAGATAAAGAGAGAGATAGTTTATTTTGCAAATATGGGTAGTACAATAATATTTGTGGTGTTAGGTTAGGTACAATGCGAGCTCAGCCATATTTTACCAGTAGGCATGCAAAAATTAATTTAAAATGTTACAAATTATAAACATGTCATCCTAAAACTTAAACTTACTGCTTTATAAATTGAATAGTTACAGTCCATAAACAAAAGTCAAAATAGCAATTACTTAAACAATGTCAAATGTTAAAATGTCAAAGAAATAATAGTTGAAATGTCCTTAAATGTAATTAAAAACTAATTATCCAGTTGATTCTCCATTAAAAAGTCTGCAACATTATAATATGCTTTGTCTACTAAAAGTTTTCTTAGTTTGTTTTTTAATAATGACATACTCAAATCCCTCCAAGTCTTAGGTATTTTATTAAATATTTTAGGTGCCATGCAGCAGACACTTTTGCTAATAAGTGTTGTCTTCGCTGTTTGAAGACATAATCGACTATTGTCTCGTCTATTTCGCGCAACTACATCGTTCATTTTCTTAAAATATTCTGGATTTGACTTGACAAACATAGCCATTTCCATTATATAGATGCATGGTAATGTTAAGATTTTATACCTCTTAAAATATGGTAAACAACTCTCAGTAGTGTTAAGTTTATACATTGAGCGAATACACCTTTTCTGAGCTTTAAATGCAACATCTTTATCTGTGGAGTTGCCCCAGAATATAACCCCATAACGAAGATGTGGTTCAGCTATACCGTAGTAAGCAGTTAGAAGCGCTTCCTTCGAAACCTTATGTGACAGTGTATGTAGGGCATATGCAGATTTACTTAGCCTCTTACAAACCTTGACTACATGTGATTTCCAGTTTAGATGTTCGTCAATTTCTAAACCTAAAAACATGGTACTTGCTACTTTGTCAACTGTTTGGTTATTATAACTAACGGCAATATCTTTGCTACGGATACGTTGTCTAAAATGCATAACTTTTGTTTTTGTGATGTTAATTTTTAGGTTATTGTCATTTAGCCATGTTATAAACGAAGCTAGAGAATCATTAATTTCGTTTTCATATAATTTTGGATCATTACACGGTACAGTTATAGTACTATCATCGGCAAACAAAGTCAAGGGTTGCTGTATGTGTTTCGGGAGGTCATTTATATATAATATAAAGAGTAATGGCCCCAGAACGCTGCCTTGTGGTACCCCATAACTAACTTCACGTTCTGATGAATGAAAAGTTTTTTCGTGATAGCTGCTATTCATTCTTTGGATTTCCGTCTTTTGTTTCCTATTACGTAAATAAGATTCTATTAGTTTAAGAACGTTACCTCTGATTCCATAGGCTTCAAGTTTGCCCAAGAGAGTATTAAAGTGAACATAGTCGAAAGCTTGGGTCATGTCACAGTATATGGCACAGACTGGTTTACGTTCATCTACTTTTGTAATAACCCCTTTTATAAAATCATATATAGCCATGTTTATTGATTTACCTTGTCTAAATCCTTTCTGTTCGTAGCACAATAACTTGTTTTTTTCTAAGTATTTATAAGTCTCTTTATATATGTACTTTTGACGTAAAAGAGAAACAAATCAACATACATACTTTCGAATTTATAATATTAGTAGGATGTTACAGGCTATATCTCAATAATACATACCCGTCGCCCATAAGGCTTGGTAAAATAGAGCAAACAGCAACTTTCCAACACTCCGGAAAAGTTGTAGTGCAGAAATGTAAAGTTAGCCTTTTTCGATGCCTTTCTAGGATCATATTCTTTAAACTTCAAACATGATCGCTTCTCTATGTAATTGTGTCCTTTTTTCACTAGGCTTTTTAACCGTCTCACACCTGAAATAAAAACCTTTTTTAAAAAGACTTCTTGATATTTTGCGAAGATATTTTGATACAATATTATGGTCGTTTATTATTCTTCTTGTAGATTTCTCTACATTAATCAAATAAGGATGAGAGAAAAGAAGATTATTTTGGAGGAAAATTCAAGGAGGCCCAATTACCCCCCTCCTCACCAGTCTCCCAAATCCCCGAATCCTCCACAATCCCCAAGTCCCAATTTCCAAAAAGGCCCGTAACGCACTTGTAACGCCTATGAGTTTTGGATGTCCATGGGCGGCGCCGATTGCTTACCATCAGGTGAACCGTTTGCTCGTTTAACGGCTGTAGCCATAAAAAAAAGTTACTCGTGAGTTAATGCTTATTTTAAATCATTAGGATGATTTTCTATTGAATATTCTTATTGAGTCAAGAAAATTAACTGACAAAGTCTATCTCCCATACTTTTCTAATAAGTAAATCTAAAAAAAAAAATAAACCAAAACCCACCTACCTACACACCTAAATATCCTATTTATACGCAAAATAATAATAGAATTCTTACACTATTCCCGTAGGACACTTAAAATATTCACCTAGGTACAGAAACGAATCAAACAATCGAGTAAATGTTTCACCTAACCAACCCGTTTCTAGTTTACAAGAGATAGGACGTACCGCAAATCTATGGGGATTACGCCTTATTTAGATGTAAAATACGTAAGGAATATTTAGCTAACGTAGTAGAATAGGGTAAGTTCACCCGTTCGCGTTCACTGGTGAGTGGTCACCAGTTCCAGTCTATGTTACGGAACGCCCTTTAACCCTTGACACAAGTCTATAATGACGGTACTAAAAAAAAGAACAATAGGTTGCGGTCACCGGTGTCCTCGCAGTGTTTGACAGTTTAATACTAGAACTATAAGTAATATTTAGTACACTACTGTTTGACCTTTTCACGTTTTAAGTATCTTACATTCATTGCGATCCGTAAAATGGACTCGAACAGGCAAACTAACCCTATGTTCTACATTTACATGTTTAGGAAACTTTAATTCGACTGCCAATAGATTCTTAAAAAGGTATGTAACTTTTTAGAAACAACTATCGGGGCAACGACCTTGACCTTGAAAAATTGTATTTATTATTAAAATAGTGAATATCATTACTAATCAACTTTAACTCACCAATAGAATAAAAGTTAAACACGAAAGGTATTTCTCCAGAGTTCCATTCAGTAGGCCAATTTTTTGGCAAATGAAGTTCTGTCCTACGGTCAGCTTAAAATACATAATAAAACCATCACACTTGCATATAGTCAACAAAGCATAATTTGTTGAATAAATAATTTAAATCCGAAGAATTTAAGACAGTACCTATGTTTTTACAATAACTATCATGAAACATGCTGAATTAACTAAAAATGACGAGTTGTTCACGTAAATATACTGAGAAATCCTCTACTAGTTTCGAGTCACAGAGGGACTCTTCCTCATGACGAATTATAAATAATATTTTCGTGAGTAACTCATAATTTTTAGTTAATTAAGACAGTATAATCTGACGATACACTTTTTTATCCTAATGGAATATGCTATGATGTAGGAGTACCGTGAGCACCCACTTTTCACCAGATAAGATTTCGTAGCAGCGCTGTTCATGAATATGAGCCTCTAGCATGGCTTGAAACTAGTCGAATTCCTCGTCAAATAATTACGTGTGTAAGTCGAAAAACATAATAATTAAGATAAGGTTCCCGTATAAATAGGGAGTAAACATATACACCGAGCACAATTTCAGAAATAATGTCGAAAAAAAAATTTAAAATTGCTTTCACCAGTATCGTTGTTTGGATTGTAAGATTTCGAAATAATTATGTTTAAATTACAAAGTATAACACAGAGATTTATTATCCAATTTCCGTTATGGCGTCGCGTTATATATATTCGGTCCATGCTTCGAATCCAACAATGAAAACTTATCGATCTCATTATTTTTCTACTATAAAATATGATGTCGTATATCAAGGCATGGCTATGAATCATGAATGTACACCATGAATATTGGTAATACATTTTTCGCGTGTCTCAACTTTGAGGTGGTGGTTTTGGGTGTATTTAAAAGGTTGGAACATAATATTGTGAAGTGACGTGAGAATATGATGGTACCTTTTCTGATATAGAAGATGGGAAGCAAAAATTGGAAACAAATGTTAGGTGGTGGAATGTGAATTGCTGGTGAGAGTGCTATATCAAACTAAAGCAGTGTCGTAATGATTTATTTATGTTTCAATCAAACCCTATTGCCTAAAGTAACCAATTGCATTTCTTTTATTTAATTCTAAATACAAAATTCTAGTTCATGAATCTTGGGTAATGAAAGAAAAGCATGAACGATTACACTCAAAGGAAGCGAATAAGTGTGAAATTTTCTACCAAATTATGACTAATAAAACAATGTTTTCACAAAACACCAGCTACAGCTCTGGTAATTACGGAGAATATGGACGTATAGAAGGCTCGTCTCGGCTCTTTGCCACAAAGCTAATGAATAATTTCTTGTACCAAAGAGTTCCTACTTTGACTGTACATTCTACAAAGAACGCGGTGTTTAAACTTCGCGGTCTTCGGTACAACGGTTGGCCGCCATTTTACTAGAGTATTTTTAAAAAAGGAATCTTGGATCCGCCCGCATAAATGCAATTAGTGGCATCGGTCAAGTTCAAATTGGATCTTTACCAACTTTGCATTAAATGAAATCTGAAGAAAATTGTGTTCTAGTTTTTATAAAGCTCCACCATTTCAGTTTGAAACTATGCTCGGTAGTGAATCCTTTGCTGGTAGGTACTATTTTAATGGATTTCGGAACCGCACTCGTAATAAACCACATTCAGTAATGAACGGATAAAATGGAATAGATTTTGAGAATTCGACATTAATTCTGATGTTTCTGCATTAGTATCGAACTACTTATATAATATGTTATTAAAATATATTAATAATATACTACAGAATCCACTAAAGATTAAACTCGATCGGTTCCAAAATTTTGTGACAGTGTCTGGTGGAGTAATGTGATTTGTGGGTTTTTTTTTGAGTGGGGAAAATATTCCTATGACTTCCTATGAATTATCCCCGATACCACGTACGAAAGAAAAATCTGGTAACATTTTTTGTCTAAAACAACAGAACAGGACAACACACCAGTTTAACAAGTTTGGACAAAGAAGTTTCTCTTGAAATTCGATTAGAGGGTACCGCAAGCCTTTTACGGCAAGTTTCAGGGAAAAGTGCTTGTAGGTACTTATTATAGAGTAGTTCGGGCGAACCGAATACGACCGTTTTAAGTGGATTTTTTTCTCTATTTTATCAAAATTATTTATTAATTTCGAATTCAAGGTTCCACTTCAATGTTAATAACATTTAGCTCTAATCTATGATTTTATTGATAAAAGCCGGTTTTTAAATGAATATCCTATAAAAAAATCCTTAAAAGTAGTTCAGCAGTTTCATATGTGGATCGAATTTACTTATTCTAACTCACGTAATATTATTTTATTCAGTATATATTAGGTATCTACTGAATTGCTATAAATTCAATATTCGTAATAAACCACATAACATACCTACATCTTCATGCCCAACCAAAATAGCACAGATCTAATAAATAGAAATGTAATAAGAAATAATTACGAACTAATCTCAGAACAAATTAACACCTAACAAGGAACGTATCACAAAAAATACTGAGCAAGTTTTCACATTAACAGTTTTAGTTGGGGCACAGCGACAAAATGTGGTGAGAAATGTCTTAGCAAAGCGCAAACCCAGTATTTATTACCCCCACTAACTTATTTCTAATCTACTAAGTTAGTTACGAAATTAAATGTACGGAAACGTATTGTCATAGGAAAAAACTAGATATGATTATATTATGAGAGCATACGATGGCGGTGTTTCCTGCGTGGGCTGAGCTCTACCATGTCCTCAGGTATGTGACCGGCGACGGCGACCTCTCGCGTCTGGCTCTGGTCAGACCACAGTACGGAGCGAGGGGGACTGGGATGCCGTCTTCTCCTTCTGCGAAGAAGTCATGCTACCTAAGGAGGAGGTGAGGTGCGTGAGGGAACGAGCCTCCTCACACTCCAGCCGTCGCGAGAGACGTTCCGGGTATCGGGGATCGCGATCTCCGACCACCGTAACCACGGGACTGCGGACGGCGAGCACGGGTGATTCGCCGCCTGACCAGAACCAGGCGCGAGCGTACGGCCCGTCACGATCCGCGCGCGCCTCAAGGAGCCATCAGACCACTACAGATGGGGCCCAACAGGGCTGATGCCGATACGGAGTCGCACAAGACTTACCGGGTTTTCGGGGCTCCAGCTGGAAGTGCAGGAGTAGGAACGTGGTGATTGCCTATTCCAATAAAATCATTGTGTACACTAGTGTGTGTTGAATTGTGTATCTATGAGGTCATAGTTTTTCATATTTACGTATGTTCCAGGTAAATATAGTAGTTTGCTATCATTATCTTGTATCGCCACGGTTGTCATGCATGCTGATCGTCATTGAGGGCCTTTGGCTTGGCACGAAACTGGTCGAGAAGTCTCGTCGAATGATCTGACTAGGTTTATTTTCAATGAAACACTGTAAGATGGTACATCGGAGAGTTTAGAAGGTTACATTTAGTACTCTCATTAATACATTAGATATAATCGGATATATATTGATTACACACTTAGATCTAGTAATGGACAACTCAACTTATAGTATTTTTTACAAATAATTTCATACCCTTGTTCTAAATACATTTTCTGAGTGCACATTAATGCAACACAAAGCACGAAACCCTTTACCTAGTTACCATAACAGAACCACAATGCACTCCTCTTTGTTACACTGAATTACCTTTTGAAATTCAATTTTCCTATTACAAGTTCCAATTCAAAGTTGGTACGGTCCACGAATGCATAATCGTACATCAGGTTTATTACATTAGTGTCGCGAGCAATATTAAGATGATTAGAAGTGCAACTGCGCCTGTGGTCGGGCAACATGCCAAGCCTACTACTTTATTATTTGCATTCGCAAATTCACGCCATCCCGCCATTGTGACAATTTTCGAACAACTGTCTCATATATTTTACACCGTCGGACATTATTAAGTGAAACGCTTATGAAAACTTTTTTTTGTAATTTTTTTTTGTGACTGGTTCTGTTTATATTTGTAATATTTGTTCAACTTCATAAAGATAAAAAATGTTGGGAGTTTGTTTTTCATTTTATAGGTATGTTAACTATTCAGGTGCCAATGGACGGACATACCTATAAACAACTGAATTTTTCATATACTATTTATTCGAACGATATTTATACTTGATTTTTTTCTGTTTCAATTTGCTTTTACGCACGGTATCAGTAAACTAGTGAGTGTCATATTTTATCCTTTCGCTTTAGCCTACTTATTTAGAGAATAAAATAAAATGTATTCCTGTGTTAATAAACATAATTGTTAACTCAAGATGCATCCCTAACATTGTTCGCAGGTGTACGCTGCTTCGCGTGGGGTTTTCTCTAGTCTATTGTCTGGAAAATTCAAGACCTTAATCTTCTGAGCATTTCACGTACGTGAGTTTATGATGTCTACGCTCGCAAGCAGTATGTAAGCTGATCTAACGCCGTACAAAGACTGGATAAGCGTCGTGTAAGCTTCGTATTATAAACTTCACTGAAAAGAAACATGATTTTTTGAAATAAGCACTATTTGTGAAATGCTTTACGGTATTAATAATAAATGTTTTTTTAATAGGAATGTTGCATAATGTTGACACAGAGTAATATAATACCAAAAAGGCCGGTAACGCACTTGTAAAGCCTGTGGTGTGGCAGGTGAAATGGGCGACGCCGATTGCTTACCATCAGGTTATTCGTCTGTTTGTTTACTGGCATAAACCATGAAAACCAACAAATTTCGGCAACAATTACTCCAAGTTCTTAACGAAAAATAAACCAGTAATCCATTTCAAAGTTAATGAACCTTAACATCCCAATTTAGTTGTCAGGAATCTAAAAAAAGACAGCTTGACGTTGTAAACAACATCGTATAAAAATATACAAAAGTAAATTATATTCCCCTGTATTTAACTGCCTCGAAATTAATTTACTGTATTCGTCACTGCTTAGCGGGTAATTTAAAGCATTTTTACCGCGACTGTGTGATTAAAAAAGGGAAGGTAATTTAGAAGTATTTAATTCGCAAGCAGGCCAAATCCGTGACAAAAATGGGCCTCGCGATAAGGGTCGGATCACAGGCTTGTAACAAAGTGACAGAATGTTATAGGATGATGAAAAACGGATAACCCCCGCCTTTTTTATTAATTACGAACAAGGGCACGCTATTTTGGTTAGGAACAATTTAGGGCTCTCACAATGTCGTGTGCGATGGCATTTTTTACTCAAATGCGTCCTAATTGTGTTTCGAATTTAGATCTCGATGCCCTTTTTTTGAAACCTAAACGTGAGTGGTTTATTTTGAAATGAACGTATATAATGGCTTTAATTGATATTGACATGGTTAATTTGTATCTTAAGATTACAAAAATTGCCACTACATATGACATAACATTGTTTTGAAACTAAAAAGGTGCCTACAATTTTGTACC